TATTTCATTTAATTTTTACAATGGCTGAAAAATTGCTTAAAAATTGTAACTGCATATATTACATGACATGCAAATTAATTAATCACATTGATCACAATAAATCACAGATGAATATTTGTTAAAAAGCCCTCAGATCATTCAAGTCAGTTTATTTAATTTTTGTGTTCATTTTTTATTGCATTATTTTTAATATTTCATCACAGCAACTTAATGCATTAAATTAATGTCAGTCTTGTAATTTTAATGTCACCACTTCAACCCATTTCAATTTGTGAAATAAAAATGTGGAGAAAAAAAGGTCTGCAACAGATATGCCACAGCCTTGTGGTTGGGTTCATGTAGAAATCACATAATTGCATATAATTATTTTGAATTATTCATACGCTTCACAAAGGATATGTGTATCAATTTTACATGACTCTGGTGACTTCCTTATGAGTCAGTCATCACTGTGACCTCCCATGCCTTTGTTTTTGTTTTTTTTCTGAACAGACGAAAATGCCAACCTTGGTACTGCAATGCGCTACGAGGAAATTGGTGAGACGATGTGATTTTCCTGTGGCTTTTGGTTTTCAAATCAGTCCTTACTTGTCACTTTGAGTCATCGTCAGAAAATACTGAGTTTGACCAGGGACAGAAAAATAGAACATCAAATAAGACAAAGACAGACAAACGACTGTCAGAGAAATAGACAAAACAGTAGAAATCATTCTATAAGTCATGAAATGTGGTGGTGTTTGTCTGTATACTGTGAAGAAGACATCAGTGTGCTGTGTAGTGCCTCATTATTCCTCCTCATGGGAAAAATGTGACTTGTTTTTTTTTTAAATCTTATCAAAGTTGTTATGTTTACCCCAACAGCAAAGGAAAACCATCTCATTACTGCGTCTTGTGTTTTTTTATGGTGTGATGTGTAACTGTGATTGTGGTTTATTCAGAGTTGCGTATCCTGCTCCTTTGTGGCAGTGATCTCCTGGAATCTTTCTGCATCCCCGGCTTATGGAAAGAAAGTAATGTAAGATATAATTCCTTCTTTCTTTCCCTGTGTTTCTTACTCATAAATGGCTAAATATTTTATAAAATATTCTAGCGCACAGTTTGTATGTTTGCCTAAATTAAGCAATATCTCAAGTAATCACATCCTTGTTTATATTCAGATCAGTGACGTGCAGTTGTGATTATGATATATTGCTATTGCTTTTATTCAACAGTTCAATAAACAGTTAGTTAATATTGAGCAACGTACATTGTAGACACAACATTGACGGTTGTCTGTTTTGCTCCACCAATGAAATGGTTCCAAACGAAGTGAAAGCAGAATCAAGCATTGAGCATTTCCAAGCAACACAGGATATCCTTACCCTTACCCCCTATACCCTTAAATAGGGCACTATTTGAGGAGACAGCCATTGTTAGTGGTGTCCGAAACCTTAGTGGACATTATCGAGTGCACTCATTCAATCCCACAGTGCACAGCAATAACGAGTGCAACTGATGTATGCTCAATGGCTAGAGAATACCTGCACTGAATCAACAGCGCAATACAATACAGGTATAAATTCATTGTAAATTAATTATTTAATTGTTTAATTAGGGTTTATACATAATTTCCATGACAGAGTTCCTGAAGATCCTTTCATCTTACAACTGGAGCTGCCAGTTTGCCAGTTTCAAATGATTATTAAACAGCAAACACAAACTATGCGAACAGTGCACTAAGTGTCCAAATTCACTCACTCGTTGTCATTCACTGCTTCAAGTGAACTGTATTAGTGGCCTAATAGGGGGCGATTTCGGATTCAGTCTTGATTTGTACCTTAATCAATCTGTGTTTTTGAACAAATCTTTTAAGTGAATTGATGAATTCAGAGCAGTCGTTTGAGTGAAGATATTTGTCACCTGTCTCCACCTACTGGTGGTACAATGTAACCTGCTTAAAGAATCACTGATTATTTCCACACTACTAAACAGTGTTTTTTTATATTTTGAGTTAGTTTTTATTTTTATGTTTGATGTTTAATTTTTGTTAATTTTATGTTTTAGTTATTGTGTTGTGTAGTTTTTGTCATTTTTTATTAGTGTTTCTTAAAAATATGTCTATACAGTTTTTATTAATTTTATTTGAGTTTAGTTTGAGTTATTTAATGTGTATGAGTTATTACAACTAACTGAAATAAAATAAGGTTATTTTTATGTTTTATTTGATTTGAGTTGTTTTAAATATTTTGTGCAAGTAATAATTTTTTATGGTTTTAGTTTTTTGCTACTGATTATACTATTGTAATAATGTTTGTATAAAAATGATAAATATAATGTGACAGTCATTAAATTTTGATGCAAAGTATGGATTAAGGAAATTATAATCAACTTGAAACTTCACAAATACTTTTTTTTTTTTTCAGAATAACACGCATTGATGAATTTTACACAATAAGACCAGGAACATATATTAATAAAGAAAATAGCCTCAGTTTTGATTGATCAATTATAGCACTAACAATGTATCTTTAGCATGTGTTGTCAAACTAAGTATGTGATTATTATATTCTTCTAGATGGAAGTGATTGTGGGGGATTTTGGGATAGTGGTGGTTCCTCGGGATGGAGCTGACACAGAAAGGATAATGAACCATTCATCTGTGCTCCGAAAGCATAAGGTATTATTTGGGGTACAACCTTTTAGCTTTGCTTCTGTAGTTATTATTATTTGCAACTGAAAACATGCTTCACAGCAACTGTGTTTTACTACACAGTAAATGCATGCCGTGTAGAGTGTGTTTGCTGTTTTGTGATGTTAATACTGCTTTGGTTTTCCTCTCACAGGACAATATAACCGTGGTAAAGGATGAAATCGATCACCCGATGTCAGTCGTCAGTTCCACCAAGAGCAGGTGCGTGTTCTCGCCATCTCCGCATAATTCATCTCTCCGTTCTGCACCGCAACCTTCTGCTTTTCTCCTCACCAGACTGGCTCTTCAGCACGGCGACGGTCACGTGGTAGATTACCTGAGCCAGCCCGTCATCGACTACATCCTGCAGAGTCAGCTCTACATCAATGCTTCTGGATAGGGTGGGGAAGTCCACTTCCGAGCCGTCAGTCATCCCTGTCTGTCTCTCTGTGTGTAATCTAGAGTAAAATCCTCCTGTGCTACCACTGCTTTTCCATGTAGAGGAGCATTAATCTGTCCTCCCCTCTTACTCGTGTCTCATTGGGATGTACAGCACTGTGCCTGAGGGATCTGCTCCACCAATCAGCTTTAAGGGACTGGGTGGGCTTAGGTGCCCAATAGGAGGAAGAGGAGAGAGCCTCGCTACCACTATGACAGGAAAAGAGAGTGTTTTTGATTGAATTAGATAATTCATTGCCTGCTATAATGTCGGTCTTTGCTGTTGATTTAATACTCTCTGTACTTGTAGTTGCATGCCTAAGGGTTTTCTTTCAGCGCATGAGTGTTTAAAATACCACGTAGACCGTAGTCTGTGGTTACAGTGTTTGCAAAAAAAACCTGTGCTTTGACTCATCTCACCTCTAAATATATTTTCTACTCATCAATCAACTGTATGTACAGAGAACATCTCATATACTGTATTATTATGGCTCAGTGTTTTGTCTTCAATGTGCATTCATGTATACGTGGAGTATTTGCTTGCACATTAAAGAATGCGATTTCATTTACTTTGTTTTCGTGCACATTTACTTCTCACAGAGCTCCTTTGCTCAACATTAACATGCTAACATGCCACGGATGTGGTGTCTAGTAAAGCCGGTCACTGCCTGTGCATCAAACCATTCGTTTCAGGATGAGATTGTTTTGTGAAGAGACCACGCTGAGATCGTTCGAGTTTTCTGTTCATGTTAGACAAGGACAAAAAAAAATTCTATGCTTTCAAACTCTTTTTAAAGCCGTTTGATGGTTGGAACATCCTTTAAATGATTAAAATAGTATTTGAGCTGCTGCACATCTAATACAACCTTTATAAATGAATCAAAGTGTATTTGATGTGAACAATAACAGATTCAGCGAATTATGTATATTGTGCATAATTGATTTTGAGCGGCTTTGCGAGTTTATAGGTGGCTCCGGCCTTAAGATACTTCAATATATTACTGTGATTATTGTTTTTCATATGATAATGCTTTATAAGTCTCCGGTTAAACATGATGATTAATTTTGATCATTTTAACCAGAGACTCTTCATAAATGAAACTAGAAGCCAGAATGTTAATCTTCAAAAATGTGAAGCCTATTAAAATACTGAGATTTATTAGATATTCCTTGTGTAAACACTTCATACCCAGCGTTTACTAGGTTTACTGTACCTCATATGCTGTTGGTTATGTTCATTGTCACAGACATTAAAGGAGAAATATAACACGCCCATTTCACATTTTGAATGGATCATACTTCTCTAATATACAGAGAATTATTAAACACACACTGATACCTCACTGTTTGTATCAACATAAATTCATTATATATATTTTTTTTTTTTCATTTTCATTTGGATGTAACCATAGCAACTGGTGTATGAGGAATCACTAGGAGACTTAACAATTTCCTCTCAATGTAAATTCATTCAAAAAAATAGTGGGAAATACACCACAAATAATATATTTTTTCATGGTTTTGGCATGCTGCATTTTTCTGTAGCTCTACAATCTTCACTGCTTCCTTGCATTCTTCACGCCTTCATTCAAAATCACGAGCAACAAAAATAGATATTGTTGATGATATTGTTTGTTTCTTGCTCTTTCTTTTAAATTGATTATCGAGATAAATCTCCTTGTAAACATAAAACACCATATAAGATTATAAGGTTCTGTTTTTAAGATGCTAAAACTGTAGATCTTAATTTTAGATCTTCAATATTATACATTTTTTAGTTAGTTGTCTATGGTGTAAAGCACGTATATGTGTGTCCGCGTAATGTCTTATATGAATATATTTCTACTTTATAGTGGCTATTCGATAAGCATTCAAAAACGGAAAAAGTCTGTTGCCATGACAATAACTCCTGTCCTTGATGACAATACTGAATTTAATAAAACAAAACAACACAAAATTAAAATTGTTAGTTTGTGCATTTCTTTCATGTTTGAAAGTAGTTTTCACTAAATGCTGAAGCAGACGGAGAAGCAACTGGATGTTACTTCTTATCTAGAACAATTACAGATATGGTATATATTTATCTATTAATCACCCAAAACAAAATATCTTTGGCAATCATGCAAAACAGAAATATCATTTACCACATTTCAAACTTCACAGTAATAATTTTTGAAAAAAAATGAGAAAAACAATTAAAATAAATACAAAAAAATTCTCTCACACAGTACAAAATCATGTTATGACAATAAACTCTCTTTAGTTAAAAAGTAGGGTCAGTAAGTTCATAGGTTAAACTATGTAACATTGTGATTCAGCCCTGCAGTAACTCAAAGCCTTTACGGCCTTTCAATAGGTGGTATGTTGTAACAGCCATTAGGAATGCTTTTACGGATCTCCTCTAAGTTAGCAATGTCAGCCAGGATGGTGTCAATGTCATTGATCATGCCTGCAATGGTGGCTCTCTGCTGGGCTTCCTTCTCCTCCAGCTCCCTGAGTCTGGGCCTCAGCTCCTTCTCCACGCGACTGCGGCTTTTGTTGACGGCATCCTCTAGCTCGGCAAGTCGTGTGTCGTCAACTGTCCCGGGAGTTCCTGGAAAACAGTATTACAGTCATGGTGAATCCTTGCTCAGTGCCGGTATAAAAATTTGGATATGATAATATATTTAGCAACAAATAATATATTTAGTTTTGCATCTGACATGCCATTATCAAATGTTTTAAGTTATATTTGATAGAAAAGTCCAAGATTCTCTGACAAAGCTTGTCACACTTTTATTACCAAATGTATTTTATATTATTAAAATAAACTATTAAAAATTGTTTTTGTTAATTGAAATAAAGCTAAACTAAAATATAAATAAAAGATGAAAAACTTAAAAGTAAAAAACTTTAACAAAAATTAGAAATGGTGCCTAGGCTGAAATAAAATAATTTTAAGTTGAAGTACTAAAATTACTAAAACTGAAGTAAAAATAAAATTGAAGCTAAATAGAAAATGAACAAAAAACAAAAAAATTACAAAAGCACATAACAAAATTACTACAACTTTAAATAAAATGAAAAATAAACAAACACACTGAACAAAAGCTAATTTAAAATATTGATACTATAATAGTATATAAATAATACAAAAAACACGGTTTCAACATTGCACTTGACTGCATGTTTTGCATGTCGTGAATTATTGTTATAACTCACCTAGTGAGCTCATAACAACAGTGATTGTATTTAAGGTATCACTAACAGCATCCCTGGCATTCTTTGCGTTTTCGAGTGCCCCAGTGGACTCCATGACAGCCTGATTTTACAACAAAGAAAAGAAAATTTAGCATAAATCCCCACATCACATGTGATTCCAAATATCTTTCTCAAATAGTTTTATGTAAGCAGACATTCTTACATTCTTTGCTTGAGTTAACTGTGCTTTTGCCTGGTTTTTCTCTTCATTCAGTTTGTCTCTAAATACAGATGCCCCTGTCGTCAGTCCATCCACGTCCTTTTTCAGTTTAGTGGCAGCTTCCAAAATATCCAAAGAGGGTGGAAGAGCATCTGACATTCCCTGTGGAGACACATACAAGCACCCTGTGAGCACATTCAACACTTTCTGTATACGACTCAACTCGGGTCATTTAGTACAGCTAGTGACAGACGTTGTGAGAAACTGAACTGGTCTTTCTGTGAAATCTTAATGGCATTGGCACAAATACTGTTTTTACAAAATAAATGGGTGAGCACTCAAGGTAACAGGTCGCCATACCTCCAGTTTGGTTGCAGTGTTTGTAAGAGTGTCGATAGTATCCTGAGCATCTCTGTAGTGAGCAGACATTGCCTCCAGAATGTCCTGAGTCTTAATGTTGTCAGCTATGGCCTTCTGGATGGTGGCATTGATGGCAGGAAGTTTTCGAATAGCGGCATCTGCCAGATCCTTATTACCACTGATCTGGTCATCAAATCCTGAGACACAATAGAGAAATGCATATTTTTTAAAGAGTTAAGGTTAATTGTGTTGGATAGTTTAAATAATGACAGAACATTATCTGGAGATATATACACTACTACTCAAAAGGCAAGGTCGGTAAGAATTTTTTTTTTAATTAATACTTTTATTCAGAAAGGATTCATTAAAATGATCAAAAGTAACAGTAAAGACGATACAAAAGATTTCTATTTCTAATCAATGCTGTTCTTTTGAACTTTCTAATCCTGAAAAATGTATCACGTTTTCTACAAAAATATTAAGCAGCACATCTATTTTTAACACTGATTATGAAAAATCATGTGACACTGAAGACTCGGAGGAATGGCTACTAAAAACTCACATTTAAAATATATTAAAATCGAACACAGTTATTCTAATAATAACAGGGACTGCAGATTAAATGATCTCTGTAGCTAGCTCTGGGGAAGTCATGGACTGTCCATTGTCTCTGTTAAATAAACAAAGAAAATTTGAATAAAAATAAAAAATATTTTACAATATTCTTGTTTTACTGTATTTTTAATCAAATACATACAGCCTTGGTGAGCATAAGAGACTCCTTCAAACTACTGACAAACTCTTCAACTGTACTGCACACATAATATTTAATAGCTTGTAGAAGTCTAGTGTTCATCTGTACCTTTGAGTGTCTCTAGTGTCTTATCCAGACTATCCATGTTGTTGGCAAAGATTTCCAGAGATTTATTTTTAACTGCTTCTGCTGCATTTGCCCTGGCAAGAAGTTTGTCTTGAACCTTAAATCAAGTAAAAACAATTGTTAATTTTCCCGTTGACCCAGGAACAGCCATTAAAGGTCAATATTTTCACAGAGATATATAAGTCTTGTTGCAAATTTTTAAATTGTTGTCAGCATATCATCGACATAACATCAAGCTCATTTTCAGTCATCACATTCTTACACATATTTCACATATTGGTCTTTGAAATGATTGGTTTCTGAACATCCACACTGTCAGGAATGTTTAACAGAGGATTAGGTTTACCTGTTGGAAACTCTTGGCCTTATTGAACAAATCAGTTGTCTCTTTCTGCTCATTGAGCATATACTGCTGAAAGTCCTGGTACTGTGATAAATTCCCCTCCACCATACCCTTCAGACCGTCGAACTTGGAAACCACACCAGCAATGTCCTTCTGCAGAAACAGAAAGATAATAGTACACATTGTTCATGTTATATTGTGTATTTTGGGGGGCATTTAAACCCATCCCAAGTTTTTGCTGGGATGGGCATTTAAAAAAATCTGAAATTCGCTTTTGCGCCATTATCTCCTTGTATTAAAGTTAATCTTGTTCGCATTCTGTATAGTTCATGTCTGATACCACGCGCTAGCATCACGTGTTCATGAGGATTAATCACCACATATAGAAAACATCACAAGTAAAATTAATCATGTTTATAAAGATAAACATGGGTTTATTATAGCCCACTTACAATTTACATTTCAGAGATCATTACAAATAAATTATTAAATGCTAAAACTGAATAAATTTAAATGAACAAACTTGGCGTTGCATTTGCAACCATGTGAAAACAGGGGGTGCTGCAGCCCCCTCAGCACCCCTACTTCCCGCGTCCCTGCCTGTATTCCCCTATTTTTACTTAAACTCTTCTACAAACATAAATATTTAATTCAGATTGACTACCGCCAGGGGCTTTGGAAGTTTCTTCTCCAGGTCAGATAACTGTTTGAGAGTGTTCTGAGCCACTCCGCTCTCCTTTCCAGCTGCATCAGTCAGTTGAATGGCCTTCCTATCCATGTCAAGCACTCTAGTTACATCTGCTTCATACCTAAAAACAACATCATTAGAAAGTAAGGTCACAGTCTTTATCTCTGTACAATGAAGGTAAACACTTTGGTACTATGGAGAACATTATCTGGTTAAACAGTGTTTCTAATGCAAAAGTTAAAGGGTTAGTTCACCCAAAAATGAAAATTAGGCTGTGTTTTACTCACCCCAGAGCCATCCTAGGTGTATATGACTGTGACGAGTGGGGCGGGGCCGTGAGTCGTGGGAACGGAGCGAGGCCGGTGGAGTAAGTGATAATGCACCACACCTGCGCCACTCACCGGTCTCGAATCCCACGGAGGAGCCTTCCGGAGCTCCGCCCCACTCGTCACAATGACTTTCTTCTTTGACGAATCCAGTCGGAGTTAGATTAAAAATTGTCCTGGCTATTCCAAGCTCTATCATTGCAGTCATCGGGTGTTGCAGTGCTTCAGTCCAAAAGAAGTGAAATAAAAAGCTCCCATCCATAACAAAAAGTGTCTCACATGGCTCCGGGGGGTGAACAAAGGCCTCCTGTAGC